CCCCCCCCCTCCCTCACTGATCTGCAGCTCCTCCACAGGTCCTGATCGATGAGCTGATCCGGATCACTGTCACCGTGCAGACCCTCAGGTTCAAGGCTGTTATTGTCATGTGAGCACGCAGCAGCTAGTGAGAGGTCTCAATTAGGATAGGCTCCTCCAACAGAACTCAACAACACAGATCAATATAATAGAAACAGAATAGAGTAGAAAGTGTCATTGTGATGTTGATGTGAGATGCACAGAGGAATGTTCTGGATGTTCTTCCGGAGTGCAGGTGCTTCACAGTCTGGTGGTCTGAGGTGGGACTGAGGGATGGACTCAGTACAATGAACTACTAAAAACAACACATGATAATAATAATAATAATAATAATAATAATAATAATAATTCAAAATGATAATTGAAAAATGAAAACTTATTATAAATAATATTATGATAATAAAAACCAATACAATAATAATAATAATAATAATAATAACTCTAATGAGCTTTAAAAATAACAGTGACTCCTCGTGTTAAAGGTAGGGTGTCCCGGAGGAGTTCATGCTGCCTCTCTAGCGCCCCCTGCTGTGAATATAAAGCCTCAGCATCGTGGAGTTATATCTGTTATTATTCAGTGTCAGTATTAATACTTTTATTGTGTAAATATGGCTGGTACGGTGAAAAGTGATGTGACTGTAAGAGGGGAAGGCGCTGATCCTCGGCTCAGAAACAACACACATTTGATTTTTGATCCAAACTGAAGTTTATTTGATATTTTTTTAAGAATATACTGGAACTGTAAAAGTCTTATTGCTATTAAAGTATAACTGCTGCAGATATATAGCAAGGAGAAGAATATAGAAATACGGTTTCCATCAAAAGATAAATATGTAACAGACGAGCGTCATGAATGAAGCACCTGCAGCGAGGTGAGGAACCTATAAAGACGTTATTGACCTTTTGAAATGTCCCTATTTGTTCCCATAATGTGTTTTTTTGCACTACTTTTTTTATTGATTTAATGAACTAAAGGAATATATTTGTTGGTGTTGGCGCTGGTGGCTCCAGGGGACCAGGACCCTCTGGAAGATGTTGGTTTCCTGCGACACGACGCCTCGTCCACCAGTGGCGCGTTGAGGAGGCGGGGATATAGAGTGGTGAATCAGGAAGTGAGTCAGCACTTCACCGCTTCCTGTTCTCTCGGCTCAGAGCCAATGGGATCTCTCCATAGGGTTTAGGAAAATATCTGAAATAAGGTCTGTGGTTGAGACACATTGAAGAGACGGATCACGTTTTGTTCTAGGACATTAAATCCATCAGCAGTGACCCCACTGGTGATTCCTGAAGAGTACGTGTCTGAGAAACGATGGTTGTTACCGAGTGGCTGAATAGGACTACAGAAGTCGTGGAGGTATATACTGGCAGGTATATACTGGCAGGTCTATACTGGCAGGTCTATACTGGCAGGTATATACTGGCAGGTATATACTGGTCCCCCCTGACCTCCTGCAGCGGGGCCTGGGTGGCGAGGCGAGGCCGGCGCCGGACCCTCCTCTTGGTGTTCTGCTTCAGGTTCCTCTGGTACATGTCTATAAAACAGAGAAGAAACAGGAAGAAGAGTTCTCTGGTTTCACTCTGAACTGGACCTGAAGCAGGAATCCTTCGACCTGGAGCCGAACATTTCAGATTGTCTTGAATTTCTGACCTAACTTGTGGACGGCCTATCTGGACTTGGAACTTCATTTTAGTGGTGACCCGGGACTTTATAGTCTTTACTCCAGGACTTGTTTTGAAACTCGAGGACTTGACCTGGGACTGGACTATGGGACCTTTCTGTTTCACCTTGGGGGTTTCCTTTCTTGGACTGGGACTTTTGTCTTTACTCGGCTCTTGGTTTGGTTGTTGTTTGTCTTGACATGGACTAGATTTTGGGACCTTCCTGTCTTTGATTTTGACTTGGGACCTCTTTAAGAAGTGACTTGGATTTTACCTTTCAGGATTTAGGACTAGATTAGGGATCGACCCATCCAAACTCAGGTCTGGAGTCCCTCATAACTGAGACTTGATCTAGGACTTGTTTTGACTCTCGAGGACTTGACCTGGGACTGGACTATGGGACCTTTCTGTTTTACTGTGAGGGTTTCCTTTCCTGACTTGTTGTCTTTACTCAGCATTTGGTTTGGTTGTTGTTGGTCTTGATATGGGACTTGTCTACGGACTTAGGAGGGGTCTTGTAGTTACTCGTCGTAAGACTTTTCATGTCTTTGAAATGGACGATGGACTCACCCGTCTTCGCTCGAGTCTGAGATCTTGATCTGGGTTCAAAGGTCTTGGGACTTTCCTCTCTAGACTCTGGCTGGTCTTAGCACCTGGCTGCTGATGCAACCTGTGGACCCTGACCCCCCTCTGAGTAAACAGGAAGTGGTACCTCTGAAGCTGAGGACGTACTCTCTGTTTCCCTTCATCACCTGGACCTCCGCTGAACTGTCCAACAGGAACTTCTCCTCCAGGGTCATCGAGGTCTCCGAGGTGGTGCGCTGCTTTTCATCCTGGGGGGGGGGTGGGGGGGTGGACACACACACAGCGTTAGCATGCTAACGGTATCATCCTAGTGCGCATTCATTTCATGATTTCAG